GGGGTGGAGGGGGCAAAACGTTTTGCACCCCTGTAAAAACATTGTCGACCATAAAAAAATAGATAATAATTGTCCGTCAATTTTACAGCCCTAAGCTAGTTACGGCCCTGTTTCCATGTTTATCTCAGGCCCGACTTGTACAATTAGTTAATTAGTGTTTATTGAAACGAAAGAACAACACCCGGTATATTGCAGGTATGTGTAAGTCTCAGAGTTAGTAGTATGGGAGCCGCTGGAATGATGTTATAATGTTTCTAATATTTTCTTTTCTGTCTTTTCAGGTTACACGTGGTCGGTCCATTCTTCTATTCACAACAATCCTTGTTCTAGCGTGCCTTTACCTTAAGTTTCAAACAGTATCTAACCCACAAACATCATCTATGTTTCAAACCATACCCAAGTCACAAGCATTGCCCACGAAAACAGAGGGAGCGACGTTTTTAATGTTGCTCGACGTTGTTATAACCTTTCCTCTGTTAATCGACCCAGTCATAATGAATTCTTCAAGTTACTCTAATTATCCACGGGAAAAGATAGAAGAGCGTTTAGCTGAATATATAACATGTTTAGAAAGAACTTTAACTCATTCCCACGTTTCTAATGTACACTTTTTGTACGACCAGCCACATATCATCAGCTATATTCAAACCCGTGTAAAAACCAATGAAAATAAGCTATTATTCCATAAAGTAAACGACTCAACATTATCAAACACCGTTTACGAATTCGTGTTTTCTTATCTGAACGGACGACTTGTGATGGTCAATCAAGCGGACGTTTATCCGGGACAAGGTTTGGATTTAATTTCTAAAGATGACATGGTTTCTAATAGGTTGATGTATGCTTTATCCCGACATGGTCGTGTGGAAAGGAAGCGTGTTATGGGACAGGAACATAGCTGTAGTGATACAGAATACCAAGGTTCCCACGATACATACATCTTCGTACCACACGGGAAATTACCCCCAGCTGCATGGAACACTTTGAATCATCGTTCTTTTGTTCCTGGGATCGATAATGTGATTATATGGACTTTCGAGAATATTTTAAAATATAAAGTACTGAATCCATGTAAAGTGATAACAATGTTTCACTACCATTGTTCTGGTGTACGAGCTACAACCGCTGGCCAACGAATAAATAACAGTAAGAATACTGGAATGTCTAAACCCACTGATAAACTTAATTAATATGTAAACACACTTAAAGGGTGTATAGCTCTATTCTTTGGAACCTAAAAATAGACGAAAGTGGGTCTAAAAGCACATATTAATGTAATATGAATGTTTAAAGTGATTTAAATATAGTTTTGGATATAGTATGGAATTTTATGATTTAAATATATATTTTTGATACATGTAATTACGTAATTAATTGTTTTACCGTATTTGTTGCTTTATATCATATTATTTAATGTTTTATCTGTAGTGTCTCATAGGCCTATGTTGGCCAGGGATCATTTGTATTATGTTGTATAATCTCTGTAAATATTCAACTGATTTGTGACACTTTAATAAAATAAATTATTATTATTATTATTATTATTATATTAAATTTTAAAACAATTCTTGACATTTCTAATCAATAGTGTTCGGTGAATGAAAAGTCCCAATTGGACCCCAATTGGACTATGTAGAATTATAACAAAAGTGATACGGTGGGGTTGGGGGTTGGGGGAGTTGTCACAAGTTTTGAACTGAACCTGGGCTATTACGTCCTAATAATCTCATTGTAAGGGGTGGAACGGGAAAGGTCATTTTTTGTCAGATACGCATCATGCAAAGGTTTCTTGACCACAACATTTATTATTAACCTTGTTTAATATGTGATAGGAATTTGAATCCCATGAAGATATATTCAACTCATTGCCGAGTTAGGATGTCCGGGTATAATTCTTCTATCTCGTATTGGTGCATGTAACCATATATAGACATGGCATTATCATAAATGTATCTCAAAATGGCCGAATTATTCCATTTAATGTTTCTCTTCAACCCAGAAACACACTCCTTCTACATAACTTCATATTTCTTTTCTTTCCTATATATGCCCACCTACAGATAATAACAAAATGGTTCCGCATAGGTAAATTTCAATGTCTGTATATCTGTATGCTTCACTTACTGGTGTCATATTTACTGTTTAGATATGCATTGTGACTGCTTTGTTAAAGATGGGTTCCCGCGTACAAACTGGGTGATTTAATGGTATATATGGACTAAAAACATATTCAAACTATACAGCTCCTGGGGCTTATGTTCGCCAATAGGCTCATATTTATCACGAAGATTAGTTTTAATCCTCGCCTTCGTACACATTTTATCCAATTTTGATGAGTTGAATAGCTATTTTAGCTTGTTCTCTGTCCACCTCTTACAAAGTGTGAGTGTGAGCATGACATCCGCTTGTTTTCACAGAAATCTGGGTGGGGTGGATCGCCGAATGGTTAGCGCGTGCGCGTTGCATCATCAGGTCTGTCATTGAGTCAACGGCGTGGTTTTGATTCCCCAGTTGTATGTGACAATGAGTAGGGTCGCCTGTCCAGCCTCCTGGTTTTTTCAGGTCCTCCGGTTTTCTCCCACTGCTAAACACCCCTACGCGCAAGCGAATTATTAAAATAAAAATAGAGCCACATGTTATTCCCAAATTGGTCTAGTATGTGTCGAGTGGATGTTAAACCCCATATCCAAACTTGCCATACTTTTATTGGAAATAACCACCCTATAATTACTTTTTTCGGAATGCATCTTTACCTGAACATATTTTGTTTTGTTTTACTTTCAAGTTAATCAAACCAGAATACCAGCATCTATGAATGTGGCTGAATAAGGTGTGGAGGTGATTGATAGCAACATTGAGTATCCGCTTGTATTAGTCACCTGTGGGTTGAATATGGTGTGTTAAAGATGCAAGAAAACACATGAAATGTGTAAACTGTAAGGGATTATAGTCTTACGCTATCCAAATTACAAAACACATAATTGTTTATGCACCCACATTTTCATGTCGCTGCCACTGTCCATCCAGATGTACCTCCGTTGAGATTTGTTTGTGGACAACTCTACAGGTCAAAAAAAAAATTATTCAATTTTAATGAAATTTAAAATATATGTTTATATCCAAACCATCTGGGATCGGATTGATTTTGAACATATTCAACTGTGACCTCATGGATTATTGCCCCTTATTGTGTTTTTAGTCCAGAGGACCCGTTTTGTGTTCAGTTTTGGCATATATTGGACCTTATCTTCCTGGAATATTACACCTGATTGTACGAAACATAGTTTTTAACCTGTGGACCCTCTAGAATTTTCAGTTTTATCCGCCAACATTTCCCGTGCCAGAATTAACCCCTCTTTGCTGAAGACGTTTTAAACGTGATAGAACCTACAGTTTTCAGATTTGGCTTCCAAATTCGGAGTTATGCCCCTTAGCTAAGAACTGTGAATTCGATAGAGGTCACAGTTTTTAATAGATCCTTTTCAGATTTGGTGTGAAGCACTGGGTTCATGAGATCACAAACCTCATCGATTCGAAGATAACCTCCTTTTTCAAAAAGCTTGTGAATGTGATGAGGCTTCAATTTTTAATTTGGCGTGTGGCACTGGGGCCACGAGAGGACAAATCCTATAAATTTCAGCGATCCAAACATAACCCTCATTTTCGGAAACCATGTGAAATCGGTAAAGATTACAATTTTTAACAGATATTGGGACAATGAGTGGATGGGCCCTATTGATATTCCTTGTTCTCTTTAACAAAATGTGGGTATATCTTAAATGGCAACCACTTGTTAATTGTTTCAACTGTGTTGTAATATTTTGAAAACAGTAATAAATAATCAATATCAAAGTGTTATTTTGTTTTTCATGTTTGCTACTTTTCAGCATAACTGGGATAATTCAGTGTGCTATGCGGGACATTCAGCCCAGATGTGGCTTTTCTGAATTAACTCTTTATATTTTCTTATTGTCAAAGGGGGGGTTGGATTTCCGAATGGTTAGCACGTGCGTGCTGTATCACACGGCCTGTCATTGAGTCAACTGGCGTGGTTTCGAATCCCCGGTTGTACGTGACAAGGAGTAGGATCGCTTGTCCAACCTCGTGGGTTTTCTCCGGGTCCTCCGGTTTCCTCCCACTGCTAAAGACCCCTACGCGCAAGCGAATTATTAAAAAATAAAATTAAACCATATGTTAGTCCCGAAATGACCTAGTTTGTGTCGAGTGGACGTTAAACCCCATTTCTCTCTCTCTCTTATTGTCAAAGATGTAGACAAGTCATTGTGAAAAATACATAGGGTGCTTAACTTTTTTCTTTGTGTATAGATGAAAGTCAAGTATTTGAATTCCCCCAAAAATATTCTATAGTCGTATAGTGTTGACGTTGAGAGACAGTAGCCAATATTCGGACATATGATTTATTAACCCGATTCATGGTGTTCACATTTTCTTATAGTTTCTGTGTGGTTTCAAACTTTGACATATTGACGCTATACACACATTGATAGATGGTATTTTCGGCTAATATGTCACAACTAATGAACAGATTAATTATTGTTGGTTGTGACTGTTTAGAGTCTGCATGCCTTACAACTTAACGCACGCGCAGGGATCTTTCCCGTGAGAGGTAACCGGAATACCCGGAGTGCACTCACGATGTTGAGAAGGCGCCCCACCAGGGTGACCGGCCAGGTAGAGTTCGAAGCGCGACACTATCATCACAATACCACTAGGACGAGGTGCGAGGCGGGTTGAACATTTTTAGAGCCTCCGGGCGAAATACGCGATTCGGAGTATGTCCTCGATAAAGAACTCAATCAAAACAAATAATTTTAACATCGATCACTTGTGTAGTTAGTGATAATTTAGATAAAGCCAGCTTTGAATGAACCGTAGGTTTTTGAACTTTTAAATCCTTCCGAAAGCGGACTCGATGAGGTTGGGATGCCATAGGTCTTGTTGTACCTTTATGCATTTATAATATTAATTAACAATTCAGCTGAAGAATATACTTTTATTCTTTAAAAAAAACCATAATAAATTACCAACAATAAGACAATCAAACCAAAGCACACACCTATTTTTAAATTCACGATTCGTCATTTTAACCCTACAGAATCACTTGTAAATGGCAATATTGTGAAGATGGATCTCTAATAAGAATACCGGTCCACAAATGGTCCAGTTCCGTTCAGTATTTATAAACATATATGGAATTGAAATGCAATAAGCCGGTCGCCATTTTGTTGTCCACGACATTTATTGATAAGCCTTTTTTAAAACTCGATTAAATCCAAGCCGGAACGGGACCATTATCTAGGGATGGTATTTTGATTTGGTATTCATGATAAATAATCAATCTGAGTACATATTTAGCATGTATTAAGCCGTGCGAAATCTGATAGTTTAATGGAGGTTCATATTCACTGGCTAATTTCTATTGATCTGAAAATCATATATATTATTACGTCGTGTTTGATAGAGGCGAATTCAAATCTGTTTAGTTTTCTTTTGAGTCAAATTTGAAATTGCTCCGTATGACTTATAATGAATATATGGCGATTAACTTTAAGTTTAATAATATCTAACTGTTGAATGTAAATAAGTAAGTCCCGAATCGTGATACCCATCTATTAAAAGCGCCCTATAGCCTTGGGCATTTGTTTACATACATAAAAAGGAAGAAACTCAATAAAATAAAATAAAAGTTTCTCACAAATTAGTAATATTTCTTGTAGTGCTCAGTAATATGAAAATTGAACATTAGAAAATTATAAGCCCACACTTAAACATACTCCTCGCAGGGTTTCGCTGGATTAGACCTAATCCCGCTCTACACTGCCGTAATGAAAGCAAATTTCTGTTCCAAATTATGACTGGCCAATAGTCCGATTAACAACCAATACCTAGCCGTGTAACAATATCATTCCAGTTTAAACAGATCTCCAATTTTGTTACATAACGTTACGTCATGACTCACGAAATTTATTACGCCCAATTAACCAGTACATAGCAGAATATTGCAGAAAAACTAATTGCGTGACAAACGAGGCTATCCAAAACGGCTATACAGTAAACAATACTGTTTGGTGACGAACAATACTTTCGCCGTTTTTAATACCTTAACCTTAAATCACTGTCCAACGTTTTAGGGAAGACCCAGCTGAAATTAAGGGCTGCCATGTTGATTGCACGGGAAGAATAGACAAAAGCTCAAGTATCAGAAGTCAATCCAGCAATGGCCAGAGAGGGATTTCTCGGGCCATTGCTTCAGGAATATGCACTTAAGGAAACTTTAAGACATAACACACCTAAAACATTACTTCCTCCACAGCACATCACACACAACTAATAAACAACCGTGTATATATGACCATTATTCCCAAACTATTATCTGCGCTTTTCACAATTCATTTTTGAAGTCATATTTAACCTTATAAAGGACATTATTACAAGCCATATCTGGAAAGTCGGCCATTTTGAGGAAAATGTCATAATAGTTTAATACACTACTTTGCACCAGAAGATAGAATTACTTACGTCATAAGACATTACTTAATGTCACAAGACACCACTGTACGTCATAAGATATTATATCACGTCAGGAATAATATTACTTTACATCAGTTGTTATAGGATATTACTTCAGGTCAGAAGACACCACTGTACGTCATAAGATATTACTTCACATCACCACTTCAGGAGACACCACTGTACGCCATAAGATATTAATTCACACGTCATAGACAACGATGCACGTCATAATATATTACGTACTTCACGTCAGAAGATACCAAACTGTACGTCATTAGATAAAATATTACTTCACGTCAGAATACACAAATGTACGTCATAATACTTCAGGCCATAAGGACGCAATTTTCGCGTCAATCACGGCCAAATCAGCAGACGTAAATTAAATTTACAACACTATAACAACGAATGATGTTTATATCTGGGTTCTATCTGTTTCTTTAGATAAACATAAGTACGTGAGATATCTATTAAAAAAATGTCACCCATGAAACATTAATTTACACATTAACACCCAGAACGACGCCATCTTGAAGTCATTCTGAAGAGAAAATATTCAGCATTGACGTAAGCAATCAGGCAATTATCACAGTTTCTCGTAAATGATATAACATCCGTCGATTCTTATTTCATTAAAGTTCCACTTTATTGGAATAAAGAATCTAATTGGTTAAACAATTCTCCCATTTCTTTTGACTTCACATTCCTTTAAAATTAATAATTCAATGTAAAGTTAATCAAGTCTGCACATCACCACATTGACTTTCACCCCGCAGCCGGCGTAACTGGGATGACTTCCGGTTTGTTGTTCAAATTCTGTAATTGTGAAATAATGCCATACGGTCGTAGATGGTAAATATAGAATTCTAAACTGTACATTTTCTCAGCTGGTATATAATGGAACGATATGGCGTAATCACTAATATTCTCTGTTCCCTGTAAAATACAGCACAATATACTCATCTGATAAAATTACATCGAAAACGAGTGGAACATGGGTGGACTGGACAAACGGGCATTTTGGGCTATTATCGTAGGCCTGGGACCACTGGGTACGAAATACTGGATAAAAATGCCCCAGAAGAACGATTAAATGAAAAACTGCGGAATATGATGGCTACACAGGAGTTTGGGCAAGTCTCGCTGGGCTTGGGCCGCAGGGTAAGAACGAATAAGGCGCTATTGGCTGGATATATAATAATGTCGGAAAATAACAGGCCAACCTGTAGCAAGTGAAGGATGCACGGGCTAGTTTTGCTTTATGAAAGACTAGGCCAATTTCGATTTCAAGATTTTAATTTGATTTAATTCTACAAGTACACACATCACGAGTCTAGCTAAATGGTCATACTCCAACATGTGTCATTTTTGTCAAATCTAATCTCAAGGATTTTAAAAATTCAAGAGGCTTGAAAAATCGATTGTAGAACATGGTTTAATAGCACACATTTTTAAAAAGAGTTTAAAAAGAACTTAAAATAAAAGGTAAAATCAAACTTCCTACTCTTCAGCATTATCTAGGCAATTTTACTCACACAGCCTCACTATGACCTAACTTTATTTCCAACTTCATACGTCAAGGGGTCTTTTACGTGCATGCCAAGGTGACCAAGACAGGGTCTTCAATTTTTAGTCCCATCCAAATGACTTTGCTTGAGATCTAGGTCCTTACGCACCGAGCCACCGTCCCCCCCCCCCAAAAAAAAGAGCTATAGACGTGGAGTATGCGATACCCAGCTGTCAGGCATGTAGCAATAAACATCGCACATCGTGTGGGGTTCACGCTGTTTATTTTCGTAGCTGTATCGTCTTTAGGTCTAATCAAGTACCCAGTGAATGTTTTCAACTTTAAACAAATTTAATTATTGATTTTCAAATATAATAGACACAAAAAACCAAAACAAGCACATAAAATCAAGGCTTGTTGGTTTTTACCGGGAGGAATGCCCCGCTTCATTCTCAGTTTGTGTTTGTAAAACTTTGTAATTAGAGTCCTTACCTTTTTCGCTCCATCGTTGTCGTATTTATAATACCAAGGTGGGAAACCTCCAAACAAATGTGTCTCGGGATTAAAACAATGGAATCTAGTTCTGCCGAGAGCATCTAAAGAATTTCCTGTACTGACACCGAGGTTGTACAAACACTTTCCAATTTCTGCATCTTCAGCGCCGCCATCTTGGCGGCAACGTTTCGTATCGTTTCCATAGAGACCAAAACGTCTTAAAGCCTCTTTACTCAGGACATAACCCGCACCGCCACTGTAATACCCTTGTTTCACTATCACTTTAAATCTATGACCAAAATACACAGGATGTGACGTATTCTGTCCTGACAAAAAATATCTCAGGTTTTCCACGATGACGTAGGTGTCGTCGTCTGCTTTCATAAACCAATCTGCTTTGTTATAATAATTGTCGTAAATATATTTAAATGCTTGAATAGTTTTCCCTGTTAAATGATCTCTCCCTTCGGATACATTTAATCCTATCGTAGGGAACGTGGCGTTTGTTTCCGAACTAAAGAATAATAAAATGTTGCAGCGTTTTCCCCAAGTATTTTTCACATGTCGAGCTTTCTTTTCGAGAGTTTTAGGTGATGTCATGATCCAACACAATACGCGAGTGGATTCAGAAAGCTTCTTGGCAGCCGATTCGTCATCTGAAACACATCATGAACATTATCAAATTAAATTTATATAAACAAAGTATAGCGTGCGTGCGGGTGTGTGTGGGTTGGGGGTGGATGCCTGTGGGGGGGGGGGATTCTACAATCCAAACATATTAGCTTTCTTAAAATGACAAAATAAGAACATTATACTGACGGACATATTCTATACACCTTATATCCTATGTATATAATTATAGTGTGCCTTATGTGACCAATATGATTGACATCATTAAAGACTGGAATTACAAAAAGGAAAGTTGTACTGAAAACAAATCTTCACACGGAGAAGAATAAAATGTGCACCAGAAAACAGGCAACCCTACTTAACGACCCTTGTAGTGAGTCCAAACTACGCCACTTGACTCGATGACTGACCGTGTGCACGCTCAAACCATTCGGCCACCTACCACACTCGTGTAGTTTTAAAGTCTCTGAAAGTCAGTTCAGTGATTGGGAAACATCTTCCAAATTACAATATTTAGGAAATTGAATAACTAAAAGCGAATACCAGTCCATTATTAACAAAGATATGATGAATTGAAAATTTGTCAGCATTCTGCATTCTGTACAGACGATATAAACAGAATATGGTGAACTGCTCATGCCACCCGTATTCTTCGTCAAAAAATGAAATGGGGTTTAATGTCCTACTGTTCTGCTCCGAACTGCGCTAATGAAGACGGGTATACTCACTCACTGAGCCACCGCAGCTCCTTCGCAAATACCATGAAGTATTTCATCTTTATTAAAACTATATTAATTTATTTTTCTGACATATCAGCTTATCTAGAAAATTTAACTCGAATAACAAATGGCGCAGCGGGCGATAATCTGTTTTTTTTTAAGATATGTGACTGTAATCTGACTGATTATAGAGTATTTACTAATCTAGATGTTAAAGAAGGTTTTATATGAAAATATTTATACCGTACTACTGACCCTGTACATTAAAAACAGGAAGTTAACACATCTGTACACACAATTATATAACAGCTAAATCTGCCTAATGCACGTCACTTTTCTGGCCTCAAATGGTATATGACCTATTTAGATATTTATTCACTACGTTACAACTTTTCAATCGAACTCGATATATAAAAAAATATATTTTATGTATAATTCATGAGGTATGACAAACACACATGTGTATACCAGAAATACTTCAAATAATGTTATATACATCATTCGGGACACATAGATCCATCTACTTCATACTTCGAGAATAAATCTCTGTCCTGAATGACCGCCATATCAAACAATTAGTATTGTTTTGTAATGCGGTTCTACTCTGTTTCACTTCTGACATACACACAAAGAGTATATTAACCTGACATACACACAAAGAGTATATTAACCTGACATACACACAAAGAGTATATTAACCTATTCAATTATATTAAATGTAAGCAGAATAAATACTACGCAAAATTCTCGAAGTATACTTAGTGTTATCGACTAAAATCGTTGATTATTTATTTTTTTATATCTAAGTTTATATACTATCAATTAAATAGATTTTCATATTGTTAATTAAATTTTATATCACGAGAGAGAGAGAGAGAGAGAGAGAGAGAAATGGGGTTTAACGTCCACTCGACACAAACTAGGTCATTTTCGAGACTAACATATGGTTCAATTTTATTACAATAATTCCCTGGGCGGAGGGGTCTTTTGCAGTGGGGGGAAACAGGAGGCCCCGAAGAAAATCCACAAGGTTGAAGAAGCGAACCTACTCCTCGTCACGTGCAAGCGGGGAATGGAAACCAGCCGCTTGCCTCATTGAGAGACCTTATGATCCAAAGCGAACGCGTTAACCATTGTTGCTGAAAGCTTTATTATATCGATTCATTGTAGCGAGTTTTACCCACAACTTAGTTCACTGTAGCGAATTTTACCAACAATTCAGTTGAAATACCGAGTTTTACAACAACTCAGTTTAAATAACGAGTTTTACCAACAAATGAGTTTAGCAACTTACCCCTGACTTTGAATAAACAAGTACGATATACCACATATTCCAGGAACTTGGCATGGCGTCATCGCCGCCATCATATTATAAATCGAAGTACGCCTATCGATGTGCAAGAACTTAGCATGGCGTCATCGCCGCCATCATATCATAAATCGAAGTACGCCTGTCTATGTGCAAGAACTGGGCATGGCGTCATCGCCACCACCACATTATAAATCGAAGTACGACAATCGATGTGCAAGAACTGGGCATGGCGTCATCGCCGCCATCATATCAAAAATCGAAACGTGCCTATCGATGATCAATTTTATTGTCCAAGGAACAAGAACGCCAAGTTGAATGTTGATCACATTTGAACTAGTGGGGCCTTGGGCCTTATTCGAAGAACATCGCCCCCAAGAAGAAGAAAGGAAGATCAACAAAATGAGTAGCGATTGGGGTCCTAGATGCTTGTCCAAAGGGTTAACATTCCTTGCAAGTAAGAGTAAGGTAGATGCCCCGTGGCATGTTCATGTAGATAACCGGTTTTATCTTTGATTCATCTCAGAATGACGGGTCTTCTTTGATTTGGGTCAACTATAAAATAAAAGGCCCTGCCTTCTCTCGGTACTAGAAAATAAACCAGAGGCAAAGTTTCTACTTAGGTCTGGTTTGATAAAATTGAACACGTTAAGGCTGATCTTCTATTTTCCACGCGTTGCACATTCATTGCACCATAGACTGCATGGCGGTGTGTTACAGTGGTGTGCACTATGCAGGAAGACGTTTGCCAACAGACATTCCATTAATCAGAACAATTATTACTTAAAACATGTCAACTTACCATGATGGAAATGTGTATCCTCAAATTCCACTTTGTGAGGGTCCTCTAAATTATCCAAATCTTCGTGAGAATGTTCCCGACCGTGCTCGTGCAAGTGAGAATGTACATCTACGCTGTTCTCTGCAAGCCTCCGTTCTCCTAGGGCATGGGGATGTTCGGGTGGAACACGAACCACAGTCCCTTGTAATGATATCATAGAACTAAAGAAAAACGTTATGACGATACCAATGGCTATGCCCAGTAAAAATTGTATATGGGCGATTGAACCCTTGTAACACCTCATCCTGAAAAATATAATAATGGCAAATTAAAATTGTACTGAAAATGAAATTCACAACCGGATAGGCATACTTCGTTGCTCCCTATCCGTCCTGGTGTTCCCAACCGTCCTGGTCTCCCCAACATTCCAGGTCTACCCAACAGTCCGGGTCTCCCCAACCGTCCTAGTCTCCCCAGCAGTCCGAGTCTCCCCAGCCGTCCTAGTCTCCCCAACAGTCCTAGTCTCACAAACCGTCCTAGTCTCCCCAACAGTCAGAGTCTCCGCAACCGTCCTAGTCTCCCCAGCAGTCCGGGTCTCCCCAACAGTCCTAGTCTCCCCAGCAGTCCGAGTCTCCCCAGCCGTCCTAGTCTCCCCAACAGTCCTAGTCTCACCAACCGTCCTAGTCTCCCCAACATTCCAGGTCTCCCCTACCGTTCTAGTCTACCCAACAGTCCGGGTCTCCCCAACACCCCATGGTCACAACCGGACTGGTCTCCTCAGCCTGTCTGACAATAGATTACACCTAAATACTTGCGTATCTTCAGTAGCTACAATTGTTTTGGTATCTTGACTATAATAGGTCTGACTGAGCCAGAGCTGATTGAACCAAATCGACTTCCACACCTCGATCAATGAAATTTCTATACCGCACATCTGTTCATTTTACAGACATGAATACAGGAAGTTAAAATAGGCAATGTTTGAATATATTTTACTGAGAACACAATTTTCAACTATAAACAATTCATAAAAACTAATAAATTATCAAATTCCGGAAGATGACAAGTTTATTAGTTTTTTATGAATCGTGTTTGTTTAAATTGTATAGTATATACTGAGAGCAGTTTTATTTATATATATATATATATATATATATTTTGCGGTCGTGGTTTCAATACCGTACCCGGTTTTTTAGTCAACTGGCGGGGTTTCGATTCCCCGGCTGTACGTGACAAGGAGTATGGTCGCCTGTCCAACCTCGTGGGTTTTCTCCGGGTCCTCCATTTTCCTCCCACTGCTAAAAACCCCTACGCGCAAGCGAATTATTGAAATAAAATTGAACCATGTGTTAGTCCCCCCCACCCCTCTCTCAATACCCGGTTTGAGGTTATGTGGCTTGGAGATAGGGGGCGCCTTCTCAACCTCGTGAGTTTACTCCGGTTTCCTCACACAGGAAAGACCCCTGCGCGTGCGCTAAGACAATACTAAAATTGAAAATATGACAACTTGTCTGCAATATCACCGTCAATTCGGAGCGGATGTTAAACATCTAGAACAACAACAACAACGTTTGTACTCCGGGCTTTGACTCGGATTTGCTTGTAGTGTATTGTATTATGTGGCTTTTTTTGCGACGTGGTTGCCCCTTGCCAGTGGTTTAGGACGAGCAAAATTTCCCTCGTAGCACACTGTATAAATATGGCGAGTATGCCCGTCTTTATTGGCCCAGTTTGGGCCATCTTCGCTAGCCAAGTGTTACGTTTAGACCCTTGGCTAGCGAAGATGAGTTTGGTCAGAACAATAGGAAGTTAAACCCCATTTTATTTCAAACAATATTTTCTTTGATCAAACCAACTGCTGATTTTCTTTTGGGTTTTTTTTGAATCACACACCCATTCATAGAGTTGACATGACCAAGTGTTTTGGACGCACAACCATTCAAAATGAATTTCATTCTAGTTTCAAAATGGCCGAGGTGTTGTATATCATAGTTATTTACTTTATTTTTCCCCTTTCTCCAGATTTTAGTTCAGCTAATGTATTTGTTCAGCTAGAGGTCCCATTCGCTTTATTTTGTCCATTTTATGTCTATTACGACCCTTTTAATTTATAAATCTTTATGTTTACACACGGTTAAATCTCTAACTCAATATCATCCAAAGTCTTACACGTTGAAAACAAGAATTATCGGTCAATTAACATTGATGTTATGGTCTTACCGGGAAAAGGTAGGCTTCTGATATCCAATATTTAAGACAAAATAAACATTTTACCATTGGTAAACGAATCGTGTACCATAGTGCATTTCAATGTCATTTGTAACAAGTGACCAGAAAAAACGAGGCTAGACATATTTCACAACTCATGTCAAACCGTGACCCCATATTTTATCTAGAGAGCATGCGCAATAGACTGGAATAACCAGACGCTAGAAATTGCCATTCGGTTGAGACTCATGGCGTATTTCGCTGAACATAAATGATTTGAAATTAGAGTTAAAACGGAAAAAAATTGAATGTAAATCAGTTTATAATATACAACCAGATTACATTATTATATGCGTTGCGACCGATTTGGGTCAATTCCTAGGTCCACATTTTAGCGATTTAGCTCCTTTAAATCTCGGTTGTTTACTTAATTTTTTCTAGATTTTATTTTAGTTAACGACTAATAGAGAATCTTCTACGAGTCTCTTTTGATATCAAACAATATGGACACAAGACGATAAGGTAAAGAAGAACGGGGCTTTGCCGAGTTTTTGTTCATTTTATCGACGAGTAGAGGATTTTATTTATCACCCATCCCTTTCTTCCCTTTTAATTGACCAATTAAATTCATGTAACGTATCGCTCAGTAGAATATGCAATTTATAACACAAGCGATATCTACTGTGGAATGTGTTATTGGGTGATAAACGTATTTATTCATTAAAAGGTCCCGATTTAGTTATCTTCTTTTCCCGGCTTTTTATATTTCTAAATATTTATACGATTTTAAAAGGACGATATTTGTGATAGAAATAGTTAAACACTGTCCAAATATAATTCTTAACATATGGGTATGGGTTCATCAACCCCCGTGTGCATCCTTTTATGCAAAAAGCTAAGTCAAGATTGTTTCCATGGAAAATCCAAAATGATTTTTAAAAATCTTAAACACAACTAACAAAGGTTGGCGTGTGTATAAAGTTCCATATAAAGATATCTTAAACGGTTTATGAGGTGTGCTCACGAAACACAAACGGGACACGGCGACGGTCCGAGCCGATTTCAGTATCTCCCCTCCTCAACACCCCAACTCCTTCGGTGCGGAATAATAACACCCACATGCGTTTTGCGCCATTATAGTTCCGTAGTTATTGTCCTAATTCAGTCATAGAGATGGCATTCTACTTGTTTGATAACGAAATCCGTGTATAAAAGTAACAAAAATAAAACAAAGAAAGCAACAAACCTTCGGTGATAAAAAAATCCCTCTCTTTAAACTTTGAGAAATCGACACAATAAATAAACACAAAATTCTCTGACAAAGAGACCACAAAACACACTTAAAGAAACAATCTTCGCCAGGCTAATATTTAATTAAATACAATAAGTTATATCACACCTGGCCAATTTATAACCACTTGTCCGAAACTATCCATATATATTTCAATTAATCGCCTGACCGAAACTACCCAATGTATATTTCAGTCAATTCCAATCCATCCCAAATCCAATCAAAACACGGCAAATTGGATATGTATTAAATAACGCGAGCAATAGTGTTACACGTGGCAGCTATTTCAAAGCAAATCACAGAGTTCAATGCATACATATTTTTGATGGGACACTATGTTTAGATCTATCGATAGATATACATAAAGGCCATAAACGTTATCTACCTACGTATATAATGAAGTAGAATTATAAGCCTAGAGGCCATATATCATAATATGATATGTACTACTTATATTACATATTGTTATCAGCCTATATATTGGAGATATGACAGTATATAATTATTTGTATCTACATCTATTGGCAATACGCCTTGGAGCTGAATACACACATACATAGATTTTATTGAATTACGAAACAGAGAAGAATATGATTACTATAACAGATATTATTTCAATTAAATGTGCACGAAATGGACTAACAATCTCAATGACTAGGTAAACATGCATTATGTAGGAGCTAAATCTGACTATTGCATTGTTTAATTTGGCTTCAATTGTTACATTTCAAATGTTACATACATTATTATTTTAACATTTATTAACAGGGCACCCTACTCCTTGCCATGTACAAGCGGGGAATCAAACCACGCCATTTGACTTAATGATAGACCTTATGATCTAATGCGCACGCATCATACCATTCGCCCCCAAGCACTCACCCCCCACCCCCACCTCCGATATTCAATCGAGTCGAGATTTGACTCAGTAGCCCCAAACTCACCTAGAAAATTCAACTCACAAGGATATAAAACTATACGGTAGGCGAATATAACTGAGCGTTCACTGGACAAATATCAATTATTTGAAGGGAATGTCAAATGCACATTGCTTTTTTTATTGATATAATGATATATTTTAAGATCAACATATCAATTTTATACAGATGCGAACAGCTGGATATTGTCAATGTGTCCGCTATGTATTGTTCCCATTTCACATAAAGATTAGTAGCTGAACACATATAGGTCTTACTTGAAGGAGCTAAACCTCTTAATTCAATATTTACAGAATATTCGAAATTCAAAACACGCATTAGGATTCATTATTGGTTCATTTCAATTAATAATAATGTTATTATTTTACCGTGAAAAATGTGATACTAAAATCCAATATTTAAGACACAATGGACATTTTTTTAAACTACTGATTTCGGTATGGACATAATAGTTACGAGCGACATTTGTAATGACCCCCCCCCCCCCGACCCCCCCCCCCCCCAAAAAAAAACATACTCTGGAAGACAATGCGAAAGTATTTATTTGGCTGATTCTGAAGTTAAAAACCCAAGAACCCATAAAAGCCCCCCCCCCCCTTACACCGTACATAAAAACAAACAAAACCGTGTTGAATGGACTAACCATACTGCTCGCGTATTTCATGGAGAATAATTGATTTGAAATAACAATATAAAATTTAAAGGTAGGTTGCCGTCAACGAAACATACTTCCTCAGCAGCTCAGTCGTCCGGGGAGTCACATATTTTTTTCTTTTGACGGTTACACGAAAATCTGATTAAGAGCCACAACCATTACGCTGTCTGTCCACATTAGCTCTGCTTGAGAACATACCACGAAATTAGTTGA